TTCAATCCTATGATGAACACCATGTTTCATTCATAGCAGTGGGATCCTCTATGTCTAGGAAGATGTGCATCTTGGGAAAACTCAAGCTCTGGGTATTGACAGGCCTATTTCCCTCACCTCCCACCATGACAGAGTCACAGTGATAGCATGCAATTGTAATTTTGTACTAAGTATGACTATTTTTCTCTTTTTCCTTTCCTGATTATTCCAGTTTCTGTTTTGGTCTCTGGTGGGTGCTAGGAATGGAACTCAAGGCATTGCCCATGCTAGGCAAGTGCTCTACCACTGAACTTTATGTAGTGTTAGAATATAAATATGATGATGGATCTCTAAAGCTTTAAAGTAAAAATTTCCCCGTTTTTGCAGTGGTAAGGATGGAACTCAAGGCCTAGCTCACGCTGAGCAGGCACTACCAGAGCTGCAGCCCAGCTCCTGTCCCTGACAGTAACCTCTGATGGTATTCTGCAGGGCAGAACTACAAATGACAACTCGATTTTTTTTTTTTGGGGGGGTTGGTTGTGGGGTTTGAACTCTGGGCCTGGGCACCGTCCCTCAGCACTTCAGCTCAAGGCAAGTGCCTACCACCTGAGCCACAGTGCCACTTCTGGTTTTCTGGTGGTTTATTGAAGATAAGAGTTTCACAGCCTTTCCTGCCCAGGCTGGCTTTGAACCTCGATCCACAGATCTCAGCCTTCTGAGTAGCTACGATTACAGGCATACCAGCGCACAGCTAACTATTCTTGATCCTCCTCTAGGCCACCCATGTTTAAGTTGTTAGTGGCAGCCTCTAAGCAAGTCCTAGCACAGCAGGCAGTAGTACCAGGATCCACCAGTAGGTGGCAGGCGGGCCACTGGGTGTCTTCAGCAAGGGCCTGGAGAGCAGCCATAATCTATCTCTGGACTGTTCCCAGCCTCAGGCCCAGTGTAGTGTAGGCCGGAGTCCTTGAGCCTTTCCTCCCACCAAAGTCTTACTGCTAGTTCTTAAATTGACAAGCAGTTTTTAAGATCACCACCAGTGGCCTTGAGAAAAGTGTGAGGAAGCCACACCCAGGTAACAGGCTGGGCCACCTCCACCTCCAGGAACTAGCTAGAAGTCTTTACATGCCATGGCCTGGTATGGCTTGTGTTTCCTTAATTGCTAGGCTCTACTTCCTACCTCCTTCAGCCAAATCTCCCACGCCCTTCCCATAAACTGGGAGGTCCCTGGAATAGGCTAGAATGTAAATCTGCCTCACCTACTCGACTAAGGGCTAGGGAAAAAGGATGAGCCAGGGTTCAAGGAAACCTATCAGATGCCTGCCCAGTACCTTGGCAGGCCTTTGCTCTTTCTTGTTAAGCTTTTTATCTGAGAGAAGGGAGGGCAGAGGACTTCTACTGCTGGTAGGAAAGGCTGTAAGCGGAGAGATGGATCTGAAGTTCTTCCCAGCCTGCAGGATATAGTAATGTTTGGGGGTTAGCACTGGGAAGCTCCCTAGCCCCAGCCCCAGCTTTCCTGCTGTTAGATTTGGGATCTAGATGTTTAGGGACTTAAGAGTTTTCCCCAGCTGGACAAGCCAGCAAGGCATCTGGAACAGAGGTATTTAAACCCATTGTGAGCTGAATTGGTCTACCTGGGAGCCAGGCTGCTGTCTGACCACAGTCATCTGGCTTCTGGGTAGTCTGTGCACTGATGGGGTTAGTCCTGGTCTGGGAAAACTTAACAGGAAAGCTCAAGGTTGGTTCCTGTGGTGAGATTAGGGAAAGGTGGCTCCCTAGGCTCATTTCCCAACAGTGCAGGAATTTGCATACTCTGGTTTCCCCATCAGTTTCTTGGCTCCTGGAACCAGGAAAATGTAGGCGGAAAGAGCAAGTGGGGCAGCTACTCGGAATTTGATCCCTTCCAGCTTGCCCGCCTCCGTGGCTTGAGCTTTGGTCTCAGGAATCAGATTCTTTCTTTGCCAGTCTCTCACCTGCTGTGCATACAAGGAGCTGCTGTAGGCCAGACAGCTGATACGCTGTTAAGGAAGTGGGCTGCCCAGCTACACACAGCTAGGGTGTGGGCTTCCATTCTCTAGCTGCTGCTACCTGTGAACTGAGGTTATTCTCTTGTCACATCCAGACGGGCAGTAAACACTATCTCTTACACAGATGGGAAAACTAAAGCCCTCTCTATAAATGCCACCTATCTAAGCTACTTGAGTGGGCAGTGGCAGAGGGTGTGGCAGGGAAAACTTGGAGTCAAAATCAAGCCAGGCACTGGTGGCTCACCTGTCATCCTAGCTACTCCAGAGGCTGAGATCTGAGGATCCCAGACCAAAACCAGCCCAGGCAGGAAAGGCCGTGAAACTCTTTTATCTCCAATAAACCACCAGAAAAACCAGAAGTGGCATTGTGGCAGATGGGAGAGCACTCGCCTTGAGCTGAAAAGCTGAGGGACAGTGCTCAGGCCCAGAATTCAAGTCCCATGACCCAAAAAAAACCCAAAACCCAAATCATGGGAAAGAAACAGCCTTGGCATCGGCTCTTGAAGCCTGAGTGGCTCTGCCAGAGGCTAGATTGAGAAAGAGACTTGGAAGAGAGGCTCTGAGCCCTGGCAGGCCAGCTTAGCCAGATTAGGCCTGTCCAGAAAGCATAGAATGTCAATGTGGGCCATTAGAGGCACTGAACATCATGACCTGACCCTACCCAGGCCCAGCCCTAGCTGGCACTTGCCTTATGGATTCCCCATTCCTTGTGGGTGCCTGTTGAATGAACAGGGCCAGGCGCAACCTTTTAACATTAGCCATAGTCTGTGGTACAATGCCATTGCCTATCTGCTGTAAAAACACCTGTTTCCCTTACACCTGCAAAAGCAGGCGCAGCAAATGACTAGAAATTAGCTCTGGCCTAACAGCAAATGTGACTTTCCAATTGTTTACTAAATAAAGAATGCCCTCCCTTGTCAAACACACATTTATAGCTTGTGCAATGGCAGAATGGACCAACTTCGTGTTGGGACCTATCTTGAAAACAGTGTCTTGGGTGTCAGTAGCTTACTTCTATAATCCTAGCTACACAGGATGCTAAGATCTAAAGATCAAGGTTTGAAGCCAGGCCAGGAAGAGAAGTCTGTGAAACACTTTTAAGAGTGCCAGCCTTGAGTGAAAAAGCTAAGGGATAGCACTTAGGCCCTGAGTTCAAGCCTTAGAACCAGCACAGAAGAGGAAAATGGATAAAAGAAAACGTCCTGAAATTAAAAAGTAAATAGCCCAGAGCTGTGCCTCCTAAGCTACTCAGGAGGCTGAGATCTGAGGATCCCAGTTAGAAGCCAGCCCAGGCAGAAAAGTCTGAGATTCTTATCTCTAATTACTCAAAAAGCTAGAAGTGGTGCTGTGGCCCGAGAGGTAGAGTGCTAGCCTTGAGCACAAAGAGGCTCAAGGACAGCACCCAGGCCCTGAGTTCAAACCCTAGGACAAAGAAAAGGTAAAATAAAAGCAAGTGGAAAGAGCTCCTTGTTTCTCCTTCAAAGAGACTCCTGAGCCTCACAGACTTCTACTACTAGGTATGCAGAGATAGTCTTGGTGGATGGGGCTATAGGGTCTTCTGCTGAACAGGCTGTGTTGGAGACTCCAATATGAATGCCATCAATTCAGAGAATGTTGAGGTATGAGGCTGAGGGTATCCCTACTTCCCTATTCCTGTATGTCCACCCTATCTCAGGTTTTGGGGTCAGGGAACTCATACTCATGTGCTGCCCCAGCCTGTCCTCCTCTGTGGCACCTTGGACAAGTCATTCAGCATTGCCAAGTGGCTGATAATGAACTGGACAGTCTGGTATTCTCACTTCCTGTCCCATAAAAACAAACAGAGGCCCATAAATAGCTTTTTAATCTGGAAGCACTAATTAATTGGAAAAACTAGCATATAAAATAAATCAATGATATTTCTTAGTGCAGATAAAACCTGATGAGTAGGCTAGAGGCAATAGGGACCATTTTGAGCTCTTGCTTGTCAGAGCTATTTCTATGGCCCTCCATGCCTTATACCTAGGCTAGAGCATGCTTCTGGTAAAGTGAGCCCCACCTTGCATGCAGGGGTGACAGTAGGATGATACTTGCACAGACTGTACAGCTACAGTTTGCAGTTATACAAAAATGCAGGTGCCCTACAAGCTCCACCAACAGTAAGTATATTTTCCCTGGATGATAGTATTTGGGGGATCAATCTGACAGCCCAGCTTTTTACTTCAGATATTTAACATCCAAATTATTTTTTGGCTGTAAGAGGGGCGGGGATGGGAAGGATGTCAGAATGCCCAGCCTCTTTTTTTCAGGGACAGATGAACAGCTTGACATAGGGACCAAGGCCAGCCTACAGGAGTCACATCCAAGCATCTTAATGAGCACTTCCTATGTGGCAGGTGTTGGGTTGCACACCTAGCGTGTACTTGTGGAATCCTTATGACAACCCTGTAAAGTAACTGCCCCATTTCACAGATGAGGCCCTGTGAGGGACAGCCACTTGCCCCTGGTGACATAACCAGTGGCACAGCCTGTTCTTGAGTTGGTTCTAGGACCCCAACCTGCTGGAAGGCCCCTTGGCACTACCTCCCCAAGCTGCTGCCACCTAGTCCTCTCCTCCCTGCTCTGTGACGAAAGTTCTAGGCTACAGTATCTGGGAGGGGCCAGAGGAGCACCCTAGGGCTCCCTCACAAGCCATTTTATCTGCCAAGTCATTTCTCATCCTCAGCTCTGGCCAGCACAGAACAGAAGAGCTCTATCTTGTCCTACCCTTTGTACTTCAACCTTGCCTCCTATCCCCTCCGCTGCAGCCCTGCCCCCTGCTGTGTGCCCACTGCTCCTTGCTCTTACCAAGGCCAGCCCAAAGCCTTAGGAAAGACGCTCCAGCCACAAGGGACACAGCACTTCTCGAAATCTTAACAGAGAACAGAATGGCGTGGAGTTCCCGGGACCGGCAGGCTGGGAGTGGCCTGCTTTCTTTCACTCATACACAACAAAGATGAACTTTTAAAATGGCTGACATTCTTTATTGATGCCTTATAGAGATACGGAGTTTTCACATAAAATATTTTAAACTTATGTCTGTACACAGCATACATGTCATCCCCCCATCTTTGGGGAAGGGCAAGAGAGAATGGGACAGGGGGCCCTGGACCCTGGCGATGGGATGGGTGAGCGGAGGGAGTGGAGGTGGGTTATTAAGGAGCATCTTGCTTACTAACATGAAGCCTCATGGCCTGCGAGAGCAGGGTGAGGCTGCATTGGCTTCTGAGGAGGGTTCCTGGAGGGAGGGCACACAGTGCCCAACTAGCCGGCCACACCGGCATCCCAGGGGTGAGGTGGAGCAGGGAAGGGGCTGAGCATAGGACCCTGCTCGGGCCTCTGCTCCCCAAGGCCTTCCTCCTCACCCACTGAGAAAAGAGGGTTTGGGCCTCAGCCCCAGACCGAGAGCCTAAATGACAGAGATACAATGTGTATCAACAGGGTAATCGCTTATGACCCACACAGCTAGAGGTGCCATGGGGGCCAGAAACAATCCTACAGTATCTTTGGTTTGGGGTTCCTTTCCCTCCCCTACTCCTCCCTGCCATGCCTGTGGGCCATGGGCCACACACTGGCTTACTCACTGAGGTGCTTACAGGAGAGGATCTTGGCGGCCAGCTGCTGGGGGTCCAGGAGCTGTGGGAAACGCGCCATCACAGCCTCCACCAGGTGTGGGGGGAAGACGCCACACAACTTGGTGTACACACCAGCCCGCTCCTTCGCCAGGCTGCCTGCCCTGCTCCAAGGGGTGCGGCCAGCCCCTGTGCTGGGTATCTGGGGCTTCTGAAGGCCTGGGGTTGGTGGGGGTAGTGGGTATGGCTCAGACCAGTACTCTCGGGGTGCAAAGGCAGGTGGGGGAGGCGCATAGTCAGCGGGGACACTAAAGTGGCCAAAAGCAGGGAAGGCAGGTGCAGCAGGGTGCTCAGATCCATAGGAGCGGTAGCCAGAGTAAGGGCCTCGAGGAGGGCCTGGCTCTCCAGCACCCCCTCCTCGCATCCCCCACAGTTCTGACATCTGACTCTCCAAGGAGCCAATGCCAGAATCCAGGCGGTCCTGGGAGGTGTATGGGAGTGAGTCCAGGGTCTGGGGGACCCAGTCTCTGGGCCCGAAACTGCTGCCACCACCACCACTAAGCGGAAGGCTCCTGCCTGCTGGGGCAAAGGCTGGTGTGAGGCCATCCTGGTGGGGCCCTGGGGATGCCTGGACCCCCAGCTTCTTCCCATCCGGGCTGTTGTGCTCACTGTCTAGTGGCACGGATGTGGACTTCGGGGTAGGTGAAGGCCGCTGGCTACTTTTGTCCTTGCCGGGGGTCCGGGGGGGTGAGAGGAGGGCGTTGGCTCGGAGCTCATCTGCCACAGAGCGCTGGGGGCGGCTTGGCCGCTCTGGGTGGAAGAATCGGCACTTGATCCCATAGGTGCACTTCCTCCCTGCCAGAGGAGGGGAGGCGTGGTGAGCTGGGGCCTGAGGGGAGGAAGCAGCTGGGGCAGGGGCAGACTCAGGTAAGCGGAGGGGCAGGGTTAAGGAAGGTATAAAGGCAGAGCTGGTCTTACCATAGGGACAAGGCTGCTGCTTGTGCTCAGAAAGCAGTGGCTTCTTACGCAGGAAGTTGTCTAGGCTGGGCCCATGCCTGCCAAGGGGGTCATCAGGGGGCATGAACCTACAGAGGGGAAGAAAGATCTCTCAATGGGAGCAAGACACCTGGGGAACTTGTATATATGGAAGGCAGGGCTGGATGGGCAGCCTCATTGAGACTGGGAGAGTAGCCCTAAAATGGGTTCCCACGTCCTGATATCCAAGCTCTTTCACGCTATTGGGGTTAGCCAAGGGAAAAGGGATCCCCATCTAGAGGGTCGCAGCCCAGGGACACCTTTAGGTAACTTCAAGGCTGGGTGCTCCCTAGGTGGTTAGGAGGTCACATCCTATAGCTGTATCTGCTGGGGGGAAGCAATGTGGACAGCTGAAGAATAGACCCCGGCCCATCTCCAAATCAAGATCCTCACCCGCCAGGTCCCAGTGTGCACTCTGCCCATCCACCTTCCTCCCAGATTTGCCTGGTCCCCAGACCCTGGGGGCTCTGGGTCCCGGAAGCATACTTGTCGTTGACGAAGGAGTACATGAGCAGCCGCTCCTCTATGAAGCGCTTCCACTCCTGCCTCTCATTCTGGAGGTCACGGTAGGTGTCATTGGAGACGACAACGCCGTCAGACTCAAAGGCCAGCTTCACGATGAAGCGGTCATCGTAGCACACCACCCGCTTGCCACCCACACGCCGAGATGGGGTGAACACCAGGATCTTCTTCTTCTCCAGTTCCCGAAGGATGTGCTGGTCTGAGGGAGTGAAGTGGCATAGGTCAGGGCCCAGCAGGGACTGAATCAAGCCCACAGGGCTGTCCAATCTCCTGGTGGCTAGGAGTTGTTAATACCCCAATTCACAGCAGAAACCCAGCCGTGCCAAGTTCACTGCCAGAGTCTGCTGCCTGCCTGAAGTCCAAGAACTGTCACAGGGCTGTTCTATTGGCCTGTTTACTTCCCCTGCTCTGGGTGGCAGGGTTGTTGGAGCCAGAGGTGGTCTTGGCTTTGGCTGTTCAGCAGCCCGTCCTGTAGGGGTTCACGGAGAAGCACGCTGGCTTGTCCCTTGCATAGGCAGGACAGGGCTACTTACTAGTTCTTGTTTGGAAAGGGCAGCTCTTCCTGGAGCCCGCAGCCCCATCACCCTGCCCCCTAGATCTCCGCACTTATAAACAAGTTTCTCTCTGAAGTTGGGGGTCTTGCAAAGGGAAAGAAGCAGCCCATATGTACTGAGCACTCATCCTATGCCCCACGCTTGCTTTCCTAAGTACTCCTAGGCTAAGGCATGCAGCCTTGTTGTCACCCAACTTCCACCTCACCCCCATTTTACATAGGAGGGGCAGGAGGCTGGGGGTGGAGGTAGGGGAATCAAAGTCCTTGTCTGGGGCGGAGAGCCACGATTCCAACCCTGGCTGCCCTGGCCCAGTGCCCACAGCCTCAGGTATTAAGCTATAGTGCTCCTCTGCCACTGGGAGGTTGAAGGCGTAACATGGGAAATGCCTAGGACTGGAGGCAGAGGCTGCACAAAGCAATTTCTACTTTTTGTCCCTCCCCTCACCTTTTTTTTTTTTTCTGCTTCTAGCTTTAATTCAGCGTTCCAAAGTTTTGCTCAGCTTGCTGCTCTGTTACTTGAGCCATGCTTCCAGCCCTGCTTTTTTCTATTTACCTGGAGATGGAGTCTCACAGGCTTTTCTGCCTAGGCTGACCATGAATTGCAATCCTCTGATCTCAGCCTTCTGGGTAGCTAAGGATTACAGACAGGAGCCACCAGTGTTTGGCTGACAACGGTGATTTCTGAGGAGAGTTAAAAACTGGGACAAGAGCTGATGCTCCTGGCTTGGGTCTCATGGGGAAAAGCAGGGCCCCAGGGCAATACACGCGCATACCTGTGATGGGCACGTCGGGCCGAGGCTGCTCCTTCCTCCAGGATGGCACAAACACTGTGATGTCGGTGTGGCCCCGCTCTAGAAACCAGTTCACAGCCAGCAGGATGCCCCGGCAGGAGAAGATCTCCTTGTTCCCGTGGCTAGGAGGGAGGGGAGGGACAGGTCAGCTCTTGAGGGCGGGCAGCCAGCATGCTGTCACCAGGGCCTGAGCAAGAACATAAGGCAGCTCTTGCTCCAGCCCCTGGCCTGTGGCCAGTGGGGCCTGAGGCCTGGTTCCCTGGGCTGTTGCCACAGTGCTGGGATGGCCAGCCCCAGCCCAGGGACTTTCCCTGAGATTCCATCTCAAAGTATGGATCCACCCAGGAATCTGGCAGCATTGGCTACCCATGTTTGGCCAGGGCCGGGCCACTTACAACACACCTGGGGCCAGGGAAAGGTACTGAGTTCCTGCCCTGCCTCAAGCTGCCAGGACCACAGGGACACAGATGTGCGCACGCCCACTGAGTCACCCCCTCCAACACCACGGCTCCACAGCAACGCCGTGACACAGCACTGTGCTGCGTTGGGGGCGGGGAAGCACCAGCCAGACTCACCAGAGAGAAACCAGATCTTTCCGGATTAAAGTTCAGTCTGTGCACCATGCTATAGGCTAGCACCCCAAAGGGGTGTCAGTCTGCTACACTTGGGACAGGAAGTGACAGTGGGTCTCTCGATGTGCAGTGTGAAAGTGAAAGGCAAAGCTTTTCCTACCAAGAGGCCAATTCCCTGAGCCGCTGTAGGCTCCTCCCCACCATCCCTCTTCCCCTCCCCCCCGGCCCCCACCCCCACCCCGTCCCGTCCCCATCCCCTCACTTCCTCTGGGACTGAGGCAAAAAGATGGCCAGGCAGCGTTAGAGATTCCACTAGCTGGCCAGAAGAGCTAGGGCAATGATACCCTGCCAGCCCAGGTCTGTGGGCCAGATCTCACCAAACTGTGGCTGGATTACTGAGAAGACAGTCTTGAAGGGGTTGCCCTGACTCTGTTTCTCCATCAGAAAAATGGGCCCAGTGGACAGGAGCTTCCTTAGACGGGCCATGTCAGTGGACAAGTTTCATGCTGATTTGATGCCAAGGCAAGATCAGCAAAGTGGACTTCCTGTCAAGGGAGGAGAGATCTGGGGTTGGGGGCTCCCTGCCCAGAGCTCTGTCTTTCACTGACCCCTTAATGAGCAACTCAGACTCTTGTGTCTGGAAAATATGGCAGAATAAACGTTACGCAAAAGAGGCAAGTCCATAGCAGACCACATCCTGTGTGTGGCTTGTGGGGGTAGGGGGCATAGCTGGAGCCCCAAGAGAAGGCAGTGGGCATGGGGTGGTGGAAAGCATGGAGGTTGTCTGGGGGGTATAATGGGCTCCAGGGTCTAGTATAAATTGTAGGGGAGACACAGTCCAGCTCCAGTGCAGCCTTCATCCTTGCCTGGTACCTTCCTATCACTCAGTTGCTTGTCAGTTAACATTTGCCAAAAGCTACCAACCTGACAGTCTAAGTCTCAACACTGAATCATCAGTAAGCCCATGAGTATTGTCATGGGCCTTTCCCTCCTTTTTTTCAGATGAGGAAATTGGCCCAGAAAGGGTCACTTAGTCACTAAAGTCACACAGCAATAATGAAGCAGAGATGCAGAATTAGAGCCAGTGTTCATAACCACTCTCTGTTAATGCTCACACAATTATGAGCAGGACTGACGACAACTGGAGGCCAGAGGCAGCACTTTATACCTCCCTGACTATTCCAAGGACACCTGGAATTGAACTGGAACTGGTGCCACTGGATTACCTTCCTGCCCCTAACATAAGACCTCAAGTGTTGAGACAGGGTCTTATCCAAGTTGACTGGAACTTCCTATGTGGCCCAGGTGGGCTTTGAACTCTCAATGTTCCTGCCTCCTAAGTGCTAAGAATGTAAGTGTGTGTTCCCACAAAACTTTGGGAGGAAGAAAGCAGATGAAGGAGCAGTCTGGGAACAGGAAAAATGATGAACATTGTAAACTCCTGCCCCTCCAAGAGCCACTGAAGGCTCTGTAGCTTGAGAAGCCTTTCCTGACCTGCCAGGACGAATCAGGTCCTTGATGTGTGTCTTTGCAATGTCCAGTGCTTCCCCGTCACACTGTCACCTTCTGTGAGCCCTCTGCTGTCTCCCCAGGTGGTAGCTACACTGATCGCACACACCACTCACCTGTGTGTGCGCTCGCTTCTCCTGGGCCAGAACTGCTAAGCCTGGAACTAGGCTTGCTAGGGTGTGCAGTGCCTCTGGACGCTGAAAACGCTGGCTAGGAATGAGTCTGCTCTCAGGAGCCCTGGCATCTGGAATGTTCCTTCAGCAGGTAGGCACAGTGCTCCTCTTGGCAGAACCACAACATCCCATGCCTGGGTACCTTAGACTTCCACCCAGCTCACTGCAACTCAGGAACTGGCCCAGGAAAAACTAGATAGGTTTCCACCCCTGGAGTCCAGCTTGCCTGAAGGTCTGCGGCACCGGCAGCCTGGCCCAGCCAACCAGACTGAAGAGATGTATTTATGTGGGAGACTCCAGCTTCGTGGCTCCCGCCCCAGGACAGAGGGCAGGGCTGGGCTAGGCTCCCCAGGTGAAAAGATTTGCCTGGGCTGGGCTGGACTAGTGGAGAAAAATTCCCTTAGAAGGAAACAGAGGTGAATTTCCCCACAATTTGCATGTGGTAGGGGCTAGCCCGCCTGCACTTGCGGGGAGGGGGCAGAAGGGCAGGAACATAGCAGCGGCTGAGACAGGAAGTACGAGGTTGGAATTCCCCTCTTGCCTCTGCCCCAGCCTAGAAACCCCCAGCAGTCAGGCCGGCAGGCAAAGGCTCTCTCAGCGCTACCTCAGCTCCCCTGTACCCCTCTACCACTGGCTCTCCTCCCTGCCCTAGACTCCTTCTGCCTAGAAGTCACAGACCCTCTAGCCCAGATCAGGCTGGAGCCTGAGAGAGGATCCTGAACTCTCAAGGCACAGGCTGTATCTGCTTGCCCCAATGTATCTCTGCTTCCTGTCCAGGACCAGTCCATTTAGAGACCAGAAGACAGATGAGGGGGATGGAAGAGAGCTGGCTCACCTGCATGCCTGCTGAGCCGGGCCAAGACCAGCTAAACAGCTCACTTGCCCTTGCTGGGCTGGGAGTAGGTGTGGCCAAGTGCCAGAGAGAAGAGGCTGATGTCATACCAGCCTCCAGCAGCCCACCTGATCTCTCAGGCCAGCAGAGAAACCCTCCCCTGTGTCTGGGGTCTCCCCGGGTCCATGCCAGACAGGAACCTTTCCTTCTGGGTGATCCACCCAGACCTGACTCACCAGCCACATTGCAGCGAACTGGGAGAAAGGAGGGCCAGAGGGTGGGGCCTAGATTGGAGGGAGAAGTCAGGTCAATGGCAGCCTCCCCTCACCCTCTGCCTCCACCTCATCCTGTTCCCTGTAAGATGTGCTTGGGAGACAAGTACAAGGCCAGGAATCTCCTAAAGACCAGTCTAGTCCAGGCAGTCCATCTGCCTGGTGTGCATTCACCTTCAGCCACAGCATCAGCTACCTGCCCACAACACACCTTGGGAAGCCAGGGCGACTTCCCCTCAGAGGAAACTTGAGAGGACCCAGCCCCTGAATAACTACTGCCAGGCATTTGGGGCCCTCCAGGTTCTATAGCAGCTACACCCATGAGGACCACCCAAGGGGTGCTATAGTTCTGTCTTTCAGATGAGAAAATGAGGCTCATTATGTGATTGGTTCCTACAGAGAGCTGGAGCCTACGGGCTAATCCCTGGCACCATCTGGCATCCTGTCACAAGTGAGGAATGGAGGCCTGAGAGAGTAGCTTCATCAGGGACTACACAGTAAAAAGTGAGCTCTGAGGCCAGAAGATTCTAGATTTGAACCCTGGCCCTACGACTCAGCAGTAGTGTGGCACTGGACAAGGCTTTGAACCCCTGTGTTTTCAATCCTAGGCCATTGCTGAAAAACCCAAAGTCTGGTTTAAGGGAGCCAGGTGTCGTGCAGGAGGGCCACATGGAGGACTTCCCCTTCCCCTCACCAGCAGTCCATGGGGGAGTCAACCTCCTGCCTGTATGCCCTTCTACCACTGTGGTAGAAGCACACCACAATCATTCCATGCCATCCATGCTCTCTTGAAGTGGCACGTACCTCATGGCCACATTGCTTCCATCGATGACCACAGGCCTCAGGTGGCTGCCTTCTTTGTCCTCTTCTGGGAGTATGGGCTCCAGGGCGGGAGCCTTAGGGGTGCCCCCACCCCGAGGCACCAGAGGGGGCTGAGGGCAGGAGTCTGGTGGGACTTGGTGCTCCCGCTCCGTGGCTGAGCCATGTTTCACCAGTTCCCCGAGCACGGTGTTAGTGTCTGCATGGGCCCCCAGTTTCTGTAGGACTCCGTGGATCTCAGAGGATGAATAGCCCAGCTTCCGGAAGAAGTCCACCTTCATTTGCAGCTCTGAAGCCAAGGCCTCTTCAGTGGCAGGTTCCTGGGCTAGTTGGGGGGTTCCCTGACAGCTGTAGCTGTCCTCAGGACCCCACAAACTCATGCTGGAGTTGGCTTCCTGGATAAGCCTGTCCGTGTCACAGGGGCCATTCATATCTCGGACTGCAGAAAGGCACCTGTCACAAGTCCTGGGGGACGACCACAGAGTTGAGGAACAAGGAATGTCACTTTTATTTTCTCCTGCCTGCCCCACCACACCGACTACTTACAAACTATCCACATGTGTCGGCTTAAGCTAGCCTCGGCTGGGGATGATCATCATTCTCATTATATACGGGGGAAACAGAGGCACAAGCATTGAGAACTTGCTCAAGGTCATTCTGCAGTTCACTGGCGACCGAAGAATTTGAACTTGGTCTAACTCCACCTCCCCCCCACAACCCAAATCACCCCCACGTCAACCCAGGGGGCCCAGAAGGCAGGGGCGGGGCTCTCGGATGGAAACTTGGGGTTGTGAGTGCGTTGTGTGTGCGCAGCGGGCGGGGGGGGGGCTGGGGACGGCGGGAGGGGAGTTCCCGGTGGAAGCCATCACCTCCGTCCACCCGTCCCACACTCGAGGGCCCAGGCCTAGGAGGTGTCGGCCCGTGGCTGGACTCCCGGACGGGACGGGGGAGGGAAGTTTCCGGGGTGACCAACCGGGGAGAAAAGTTGCTGGGAGGCTCTGGTTGGCTGCCGGGCGGCGGTGACGCCAGCCCGTCCCGGACCGAAACCCGGGCGCGCTCGGCGCCTCCTTCCCGGGGCTCCCCAAACTTGAGCTAAGCCTTAGGGATCCTGAAGACCGGCGAGGCGGGGAGGCCGGCCCGGCGAGGCGGGAGGCCGGCCCGGCGAGGCGGGCAGCACCGGCCCCGTGTTCCTCCGCTCGGCTCCGACCCCGCCGGAACCCCCCCTCACCCCCTTCCGCCCAGACTCCGCGGCCCGCGCGCCTTCCCCGCCGCCCACTCACCCCGCCAAGCGCCAGCCGCGGACGGCGGCGTCTCCATGGGGCCGCGTCCCGGGGGTAAGCAGGCGGCGCCTTCGTACGGGCGGAGGACGAGCAGGTGCTTTAAGGACCGCGACGCGGAAGCCGGGTACGGCCGCCGCCCCTTCCTGCTCCGCCCCCGGGACGCCCCGCCCCGGACACACCCACTCCAAGCCACGCCCACCGACCCAAGCCACGCCCCGGAGCCGCCTTCCCCGCCTCCTGCGTGCAGTCTGCTGAGTGTCAGTCAGGTCAGGGTTCCCAGTCGCGGTCCACTGCCCGCCTCTCCAGGCCTCCGCGGCCCCACTGCAGACGGCCTGCCGGCCCGCCCCACGCCAGGTAAGCACGCGGCGCCAGGTGCGCGCAACTATTGGGTACCTAGGACTGGACTAGTCCACCGGCCTGATGAAGGTGCATGTAGAGTGAAGGAGGTTCAGAGAGGGGTCCACGCACCGTCGGAAGTAGATAAAAACGGGTTCAGATGCAGACCAATTACCCTGACGGATGCCCGGTACACAGAGGCTGGCACACTCGCAGGAGCCAATACACTTTTTCTGAAATAGCTACTTACCCAGGATGGAACGATGGTTGCCACCTGAAGTTGCACAGTGAGAACGAAAGCCAGGGCAAGGAAAAGGCTGATGCCCAGGTCAGTGACATGGTTCCTTCCAAGATCACAGCGCTGCGTGTGTGTGTTTCCTGATACTGAGTCTTGAACTCAGGGCCTAGGTGGTGTGTCTGAGCTTTTCCGCTCAAGACTAGTACTTGAGCCACAGCTTCACTTCTGGCTTTTTTTGACCAGTATTACATACTTTTCTTTTTTTTAAAAAAAATTGTTTATTGGGCTGGGAAGGTGGCTCAGTGGTAGAGTGCTTGCCTTGCATGCATGAGGCCCTGGGTTCGATTCCTCAGCACCACATAAGCAGAAAAAGCCGGAAGTGGCGCTGTGGCTCAAGTGGTAGAGTGTTTGCCTTGAGCTGAAGAGCTGAGGAACAGCTCCCAAGCCTCCAGAGTTCAAGACCAACAAAAAAAGAAAAAAGAAAGAAAAAAAGAAAGGAAGGAAGGAATAAAGGAAAACACAAACAGCAACAAAGAAAAAAAAACCCTCTTGTTTCCATTTTCTGGAGGTCATTTCAATACATATTATTGTATATGACCAGAGGCACATAGCCACTTAGCCTGTTTTCCTCTCCTAAGAGTATCCTCCTTTGGCCTCACTGTGTGTGAATGCTTAGAGTCCTGTTTCATTTATCATGTTTCATTTATCATACATTGTATTTTAGCTCTAGCACCTGCATATGAGAGAAAACATGCACCATTTGTTTCTCTGAGCTTGGCTTATCTTACTTATTTGATTTGTTCTAGGTCCATCCTTTCACTTCTGGCTTTTTGCTGTTTAATTGGAGATAAGAGTCTCATGGACTTTCCTGCCCAGGGTGGCTTTGAACTCATCCTCAGATCTTAGCCTCATGAATAACGAGGATTACAGGTGTGAGACACCAGTGCCCAGCACAGTGAGTGCCCAATACTGTGAGAACACAGCACTTCACAGTATTTGTCCAGAGGCTAAGATGAAGGAGATTGACATGCTTGTTTATGTTTACTCTTGAGAAACTCAGAAAAGGCAGAACTGCCTCAGTGGGAAAGACATGGGTGGAACTGGGGCCAAGAACACCTATTTCAGTGCATCACGGGTCGCCTTTGCCCTCTGGGAAAGCCCCAAGACCCCAGGACAGGAGAGTCTGGCTTTCAGTGTGTGAGTGTACATGGCTGCAGGTGTTTTCACTGGAAGTGAAAGGAAAAGGAGCAAGAGGAAGGGGAGAGGGAGAAAGGGAACAGAAGCCACAAACCAGAGGACAAAGTCTTAGTCATACCACTGGCTTACATTGTTCCTGGTGAAACTGAGATTCAGAGGGCCAAAGCCCTCAAAATTAAGGGCTTAATACTGTGGTCTGGCACTTAAATTACATAATCTCTACCTTATCAAAAGCACAGGGTGCTAGTCTCTCTCTCTTTTCTTTAGGTCAGTAATGGGGTTTGAACTGGGGCCTGGGTGCTATCCCTCAGCTCTTCAGCTCAAGGATAGTACTCTGCCACTTGAGCCACAGCGCCACTTCTGGCTTTTTCTGCTGAGGAATTGAACCCAGGGGCTCATGCATGCAAGGCAAGTGCTCTACCACTGAGCCACCTTCCCAGCCCCCCAGCCCCACTCCCTCTCTCTTTGTCTCTCTGTCTCTGTCTCTCTCCCTCTTTGCCAGTCCTGAGACTTGAACTCAGAGCCTGAGCTTCTTTTGCTCAAGGCTAGCACTCTACCACTTGAGCCATGGCACCACTTCCGGCTTTTTCTGTTTATATGGTACTAAGGAATTGAACCCAGGGCTTCATGCATGCTAGGCAAGCATTATCACTAAGCCACATTCCCAGCCCTGGTGCTGTTCTATGTGAATCAAACATTGGTTATTATGAAAGATAACTTAGATACAACTGTACATGTACAACCTAAAGAATAATAGCCAGGTGCTGGTGGCTCACCAGCACCTGGTGATCCTAGCTACTGAGGAAACTAAGATCTGGGGATTATGGTTTGAAGCCAGCCCAGGCAGGGAAATTTGTGAGACTCTTATCATTAGTAAACCACCAAAAGGCAGAAGTGGAGTTGTGGCTCAAATGGTATAGTGTGCCAGCCTTGAGTGAAAAAGCTAAAGGACAGCACACAGGCCCCAAGTTTAAGAACTAGTACCAGCAAAGAAAAAAAAAAAGGAAAAAAAGTAGCAATAATTCCAAAGAACCCACATATTATTTAATTTAGAAAATAAACTAGGGGCTGGGAAAGTAGCTCAGTGGTAGAGCACTTGCCTTGCATGCCTGAGGCCCTGGGTTCCATTCCTCAGCACCACATAAGCAGAGAAAGCCGTAAGTGGGGCTGAGGCTCAAGTGGTAGAGCGCTAGTCTACAGCTGAAGAGCTGAGGGACAGCGCTCATGCCCAGAGTTCAGGCCCCACGACCGACAAAAAAAAAAAAAGAAACCAGTGCCAGTAGCTGGTGAGGTGTAGCCTTTTTGTGCCCCTGCACCGCCTCCTTCCCATTTCCTGGAACTGTTTTCCTGAATTTCTGCAAGTCATTCCCTTGCTGTCAGTCCCTAAATGGTGTATTGTTTAGTTTTTCTTTTTACTTTATGTAAATATGACTTGCTTTTGTTTTTTTTTTAAATCCATGTCACTGGGCAGCAGCGGCTCATACCTGTAATCCTAGTTACTCAGGAGTCTGAGATCTGAGGATCACAGTTCAAAGCCAGCCCAGGCAGAAAAGTCTGTGAGACTCTTCTCAAAAAAAACAGAAGTGGAGTTGTGGCTTATGTGGTAGAGTGCTAGCCTTGAGCAAAAGATGCCTAGGAACAGTGCCCAGGCCCAGAGTTCAGGTCCCAGGACTGGCAAAAAAGAAAAAGAAAAAAGAACAAAAATTCGTGTCCATTGCCTGCTACTTATGTAGTTTTTTACTTACAATTTTTATAACATACATACCTCTCTCTCTCTCTCTCTCTCTCGATCTCAATTCCTAAAATAGAATTCTATCTCTATTTGGATGTTTTTTCCTAGGACTTTGTTACAAAAAAGCAGTGACTTTCACCTGTAATCCTATCTACTCAGGAAGCTGACTGGAGGATCGTGGTTCAAAACCAACCTGGGCAGAAAAGTTCCTGAGACTCTTCAATTAGGCAGCAAAAAATCTGGCTCAAGGTGTGGCTCAAGTGGTAGAATGCTGTCTCTTCAAGCAAACCAAGAAAACTATGCGCGCGCGCACACACACACACACACACACACAAAGCACATTTTGGTTCTGCTTGCCAATGCCTTAATTCAGTGGATGCAATGGCATGCAGCAGCACACTTGAGGAAATGGATGTGAAGGTTGGGAAAAGTGAAGTTGCTGGCCCAGGATGGAGGTGGGGGGAGGGGGAGGGTTGGAAGTCCCACAGCCCTTCTTGAGGCAGTGATCTCACCTTGGACTCCTGCCTATGGGAGGCCACAGAAGACATCAGAGAAGGGGAAAGCCCCTGGTCCTGAGGCTGCTCCTCTGAGTTGGCCTGGCTCTTTCTAGTCTTCTGTCTGTTGTGGAGCTTGGGTCATCTTTGAAGATCCCAAAGTATTCCCCCAATCAAGCACAGCCACCCTTGGGCCCCACAGGATGAGGAGAGAGGGGACCTAAGGCTGCCCTACTGAGTGCCAGCCCCACCCTGATTCTGAACACCTCCTCTACTCCAGTTACCACAGCCAGCACCAGGCACGTCATGCGCTCATCTCCCTCAGTCCCTCTTCTGTTTGAGAAGAGCTTGGTGATGGCAGATTCTTCACTGAGCTCACTACCTTTAAGATGGTAAAAACACGAGTGAGCCGGGCATCAGTGGCTCATGCCTGTAATCCTAACTATTTCAGGAGGCTAAGATCTGAAGATTGCGGGTCAAAGCCAGCTGGAGCAGGGAAAGTCTGTGAGACTCTTAGCTCCAATTAACCATCAGAAAACTGGACGTGGAGCTGTGGCTCAAAGTGGTAGAGTACTAGTCTTGAGCAAAAAGAGCTCAGAGATAGCACCCAGGTCATGAGTTCAAGTCCCACCGCTGACCAAAATAAAGCTCAGGGACAGTGCCTAGGCCCTGAGTTCAAGACCCAGGACTAGTCTCTCTCTCTCTCTCTCTCACACACACACACACATACACACACACAAATACACACACACACAAAGTGATGTGTCCAGATTCATGAACCACCACAGCCATATGCCTCACACTTAGGCAATGTTCTCCTGGCAGTGGGCACAATGCCAGCACCTGACAGATACCTCTGTGCCTTCCTCTGTGTCAGCTCTTTCGTGGGCTAGGAGTGTCTCATGCTGCCCCGTCCCCTCCCTTCCCCCACACTGCTGCCTGCCCAATTCCATTCATCTTTTTGGTGACATCACTTCCTCAGTGGGACCTGCCAGAAGTTGAGTGGTTGGTTCCCTCGGCTCCCTGCTGTGTTCTTCCTATGTGCTGGATTGTTCCTGCCCGGATCTTTTCTGGCATGCCTCACGG